CCTGTAACAGCGTTTACTTAATTATTCACTCATTGTGAGACATATGGTTTTTATAGATTCTGGCTAGTAAGAATAAAGCTGCTATGAACATTGTATATACAGGCTTTTGTGTAAATACATGTAGTCATTTATGTGAGAGAAATGTCTACAAATGTAGTAACTAGATTGTATGATAGTAGAGCATTAAAAGAAACTGTCAGAGTCACCAGATGGCAGAATAAAAAGGTCTAAACTCTCCTTCCTCACCATGGACACATCAGTTCAACAGCAACACACAGATAAATTTCCATCATTGGAAATCCAGAAACTAATGAGCCACTCCTGCACCCGAGGTGAGTGTGAAACTATCCACATCAGAACTGGCAGGAAACAACTTGCACACACTGTGATAATAATCCCCAGCCATCATATGATGCCACATGGCTGGGAAGGAACTCCCATCTCTCAGCCTATCCCTGAGGAGGGGATACCTAGAGAAGCTGTGAAGCCTATCTGGTACTTCTCTAGGTATTACCAGAGGGATTGGTTTCTTTTTTTTCTTATTAACCCTTGGTTGAAGAGAGGAACTGGTTTCTAACTTCCCTGTTTTGGTGAGCTGACAGGGCCCAGCATCTGTTAAACCTCTGGGGCTACACAAAACAAAACAATGGTTGTTTTTTAAATAGTAATTGTTACAGCCGTGTTACTTCAAATATTTTCAGGGCAGTTTTTAATAAGCATGTGGGTACTTCACTGCTCCCCACTTTGGCTCAGTGCAGAGTGATAAAGCCCAGCCTCCAGCTTCTCTCTGAAAAGCAAAGGGGACAGACCAAATAACTAGCCCCCCAGCTTTTCTGGCTGCTACCTGAGGCACTGGATTTTATCTCATGTGTCTGAGCACTGAAAGGATCTGGCATACTCTAGATGCCTGAGGACCATTAAGAACAAACATTGTGACTTCAACTACCATGACAGTTTAAGTGGCACACAGAACCTCTGTCTGGACTGGTTGGTAAAGGCGTTCTCCTGTATGAGACCTGTCTGTGAAGACTGGAAAGGAAGCTGTGTTATCTGGTGCACAGACACCAATGCTGAGAGTATTAAAGAAGATAAAGAAATATGTTGCAAATGTTACCCACACAACAGGCGGGTTAGTCACTTGTCAAGTGTCAACCCCATGACCACAGCCAGGGAGGATTTAGCAAGAGTTCATCTCTTGCAGAGAGTAAAGAGAACACTGGGCAATCCCAAAGCAGTCCTTCCTCAAGCTGGGAACTGGGTCAGGTTTTATAAGCATAGAGTAACGAGACACCATCTGATTGGATCTTGTAATGAGGTGATGCTGGAAAGCATGCTCTGACTGGATCCTGCCATGGAGTGAGACCAGAGTTCCATCCAGTTGGATCCTGGATCCTGCCACCGTGTGCCCACTTCTAAATTCAGCCTGTGTACCTCAGTCTGAACAATTGGGTTTTCCCTGTGGTTGCGTACTTGGTTCACCTGGCCATGCTCAGGTTATATGACCTGAGGGTCCATGACAACTGAAGAACAATTCACAACTTTGTTACCACAAAAGCTGAACCATGGAAGTCTACTGCTGTACTATTCACAATAGCCAAGACATGGAATCAATGTAGATGCCTATCAACAGCAGACTGGATAAAGAAAATGAGCCATGGTCATAAGATGTTTACAGCTAAGGAAGTGTAGTAATGCCTGCAAGGACAAACGCCTACAATAGCAGAATGTCCAGATGTCCCAATGTCACATAACAGTACATGCTTTTAAGATAGCTATAGTCATATTTTGATGTACTTATGCACTAAAATGACAAGGGTATGTTTCTTTATATCAACAAAGTACTAAGTTGTGTCACACTGACAGCCTACTCACATGTAGGCATAACTTAGCTTCTACATATAAAAGAAGGCTTTAAAACAAAGACAGCTTTCTGAGGCTGCCCTCCTCTTACTTTCTGAGGATGCCCTCCTCTATAATTGAGCTTTCAATAAATCAGCTTTCAACTGATTTAGGTGGGTCTTGAGAGTCCCAAAGTTAGTGAGTGTGGGCTTTCCAGGAACTCAGAGGAGGGCGGCTCTCTTTTTACAGCTCTACCAGGCAGCATCCCAGTGGGGGATCTCTGCACTGTCCTAGCAGAGGTTCTTCAAGAGGGATCCACCCCTAC